TTCCACTTCTGAATCCACTTCTCAAACAAACAGTGAATCCTCCACTTTAGAATCGACCACTCAAACATCCACGGAGCCGTCCACTTCGAACTTGACCACCCAAATCTCTACGGAGGCTTCCACCTCGGAATCAACAACTCAAACATCGAAGGAGTCAACCACTTCGGAATCAACACCTAAAACATCAACGGAGGCTTCTACTTCGGAATTCACCACTCAAACATCCACGAACACTTCCACATCAGAATCGACCACTAAAACATCCACGGAGCCTTCCACTTCAGAAACGACAACTCATAGCTCCACGGAGCTGTCAACTTTGGAACCAACGCCTCAAACATCCACGGAGACTTCCACTTCAGAATCCACAATACAAACTCTACCGATACTACAACTTCAGAGTCAACCACACAAACACCAACGGAATCGTCCACTTCGGAATCAACCACGAAACAACAATAGAACCTTCAACTTCGGAGTCGACTTCTCAAACAAACACTCCAGCCTCCACATTGAAATCGACGACTCAAACATCCACGGAGCCTTCCACTTCAGAATCGACAACTCAAACACCCAAGGAAACGTCAACATCGGAATCAACCACTCAAAAATCCACAGAAGCTACCACCTCAGAACCAACGACTAAAACATCAACGGAGGCTTCCACTTATCAATCAACCACTCAAATATCCACAGAGGCTACTACTACCGAATCGACCATTCAAACATCGACGGAGGCCTCCACATCGGTATCGACAACTCAACCATCCACGGATTCCACTACGGAAGCGACCGCTCAAACATCCACGGATGCTTCCACTTTGGAATCCACCATTCAAACATCTACGGAGCCTTCCGAATCGACTTCTCAAACAAACACTAAAGCCTCCACTTTAGAATCGACCACTCAAACATCCACGGAGCCGTCAACTTCGGACTTAACCACCCAAATCTCTACGGAGGCTTCCACTTCGGAATCAACAACTCAAACGTCGAAGGAGTCGACCACTTCGGAATCAACACCTAAAACATCGACGGAGGCTTCTACTTCGGTATTCACCACTCAAACATCCACGAAGACTTCCACATCAGAATCGACCCCTAAAACATCTACGGAGGCTTCCACTTCAGACTCGACCACTAAAACATCCACGGAGCCTGCCACTTCAGAAACGACAACTCATAGATCCACGGAACTGTCAACTTTGGAACCAACGCCACAAACATCCACGGAGACTTCCACTTCAGAATCCACAATACAAACATCTACCGATACTACCACTTCTGAGTCAACCACACAAACACCCACGGAATCGTCCACTTCGGAATCAACCACGAAAATAACAATGGAACCTTCAACTTCCGAGTCGACTTCTCAAACAAACACTCCAGCCTCCACATTGGAATCGACGACTCAAACATCCACGGAGCCTTCCACTTCAGAATCGACAACTCAAACACCCAAGGAAACGTCAACATCGGAATCAACCACTCAAAAATCCACAGAAGCTTCCACTTCAGAACCAACAACTAAAACGTCAACGGAGGCTTCCACATCTGAATCAACCACCCAAAGATCCACAGAGGCTTCCACTCCAGAATCGACCGTTCAAACATCGACAGAGGCCTCCACATCGGCATCGACAGCTCAACCATCCACGGAGGCTTCCACTACGGAAGCGACCGCTCAAACATCCACCGATGCTTCCACTTTGGAATCCACCACTCAAACATCTACGGAGCCTTCCACTTCCGAATCCACTTCTCAAACAAACACTGAATCCTCCACTTTAGAATCGACCACTCAAACATCCACGGAGCCGTCCACTTCGAACTTGACCACCCAAATCTCTACGGAGGCTTCCACCTCGGAATCAACAACTCAAACATCGAAGGAGTCAACCACTTCGGAATCTACACCTAAAATATCAACGGAGGCTTCTACTTCGGAATTCACCACTCAAACATCCGCAAAGTTTTCCACATCAGAATCGACGCCTAAAACATCTACGGAGGCTTCCACTTCAGACTTGACATCTCAAACATCCACGGAGCCTTCCACTTCAGAAACGACAACTCATAGATCCACGGAGCTGTCAACTTTGGAACCAACACCTCAAACATCCACGGAGACTTCCACTTCAGAATCCACAATACAAACATCTACCGATACTACCACTTCAGAGTCAACCACACAAACACCCACGGAATCGTCCACTTCAGAATCAACCCCTAAAACAACAATGGAACCTTCAACTTCCGAATCGACTTCTCAAACAAACACTCCAGCCTCCACATTAGAATCGACAACTCAAACATCGACAGAGCCGTCCACTTCGCAATCAACCATTCAACCAACCACGCAGACGTCCAGTTCGGGATCAACACCTCAAACATCCATGGAGACTTCCACTTCGGAATCGACCACTCAAACATCCACGGAGCCTTCTACTTCGGAAACTAGCACTAAAACATCAACGGACACTTCCACATCACAATCGACCATTCAAACATCCACCGTGGAATCCACTTCAAAATCGACCACTCAAACATCTATGGAGCCTTCCACTTCGGAATCAACAACTCAAACATCCACGGAGCCGTCAACATCGGAATCAACCACTCAAAAATCCACAGAAGCTTCCACCTCAGAACCAATGACTAAAACATCAACGGAGGCCTCCACATATCAATCAACCACTCAAATATCCACAGAGGCTACTACTACCGAATCGACCATTCATATATCGACGGAGGCCTCCACATCGGCATCGACAACTCAACCATCCACGGAGGCTTCCACTACGGAAGCGACCGCTCAAACACACGGATGCTTCCACTTTGGAATCCACTATTCAAACATCTACGGAGCCTTCCGAATCGACTTCTCAAACAAACACTAAATCCTCCACTTTAGAATCGACCACTCAAACATCCACGGAGCCGTCCACTTCGAATTGGACCACCCAAATCTCTACGGAGGCTTCCACTTCAGAATGGACAACTCAAACATCGAAGGAGTCAACTACTTCGGAATCAACACCTAAAACATCAACGGAGGCTTCTACTTCGGAATTCACCACTCAAACATCCACGAAGACTTCCAAATCAGAATCGACCCCTAAAACATCTACGGAGGCTTCCACTTCCGACTCGACCACTAAAACATCCACGGAGCCTTCCACTTCAGAAACGACAACTCATAGATCCACGGAGCTGTCAACTTTGGAACCAACGCCTCAAACATCCACGGAGACTTCCACTTCAGAATCCACAATACAAACATCTACCGATACTACCACTTCAGAGTCAACCACACAAACACCCACGGAATCGTCCACTTCGGAATCAACCACGAAAACAACAATAGAACCTTCAACTTCGGAGTCGACTTCTCAAACGAACACTCCAGCCTCCACATTGGAATCGACGACTCAAACATCCACGGAGCCTTCCACTTCAGAATCGACAACTCAAAACCCCAGGAAACGTCAACATCGGAATCAACCACTCAAAAATCCACAGAAGCTTCCACTTCACAACCACCAACTAAAACGTCAACGGAGGCTTCCACATCTGAATCAACCACCCAGAGATCCACAGAGGCTTCCACTCAAGAATCGACCGTTCAAACATCGACAGAGGCCTCCACATCGGCATCGACAGCTCAACCATCCACGGAGGCTTCCACTACGGAAGCGACCGCTCAAACATCCACCGATGCTTCCACTTTGGAATCCACCACTCAAACATCTACGGAGCCTTCCACTTCCGAATCCACTTCTCAAACAAACACTGAATCCTCCACTTTAGAATCGACCACTCAAACATCCACGGAGCCGTCCACTTCGAACTTGACCACCCAAATCTCTACGGATGCTTCCACCTCGGAATCAACAACTCAAACATCGAAGGAGTCAACCACTTCGGAATCAACACCTAAAACATCAACGGAGGCTTCTACTTCGGAATTCACCACTCAAACATCCGCGAAGACTTCCACATCAGAATCGACGCCTAAAACATCTACGGAGACTTCCACTTCGGAATCGACCACTCAAACATCCACGGAGCCTTCTACTTCGGAAACTAGCACTAAAACATCAACGGACACTTCCACATCACAATCGACCATTCAAACATCCACCGTGGAATCCACTTCAAAATCGACCACTCAAACATCTATGGAGCCTTCCACTTCGGAATCAACAACTCAAACATCCACGGAGCCGTCAACATCGGAATCAACCACTCAAAAATCCACGGAAGCTTCCACCTCAGAACCAATGACTAAAACATCAACGGAGGCCTCCACATATCAATCAACCACTCAAATATCCACAGAGGCTACTACTACCGAATCGACCATTCAAACATCGACGGAAGCCTCCACATCGGCATCGACAACTCAACCATCCACGGAGGCTTCCACTACGGAAGCGACCGCTCAAACATCCACGGATGCTTCCACTTTGGAATCCACCATTCAAACATCTACGGAGCCTTCCGAATCGACTTCTCAAACAAACACTAAATCCTCCACTTTAGAATCGACCACTCAAACATCCACGGAGCCGTCCACTTCGAATTGGACCACCCAAATCTCTACGGAGGCTTCCACTTCAGAATGGACAACTCAAACATCGAAGGAGTCAACTACTTCGGAATCAACACCTAAAACATCAACGGAGGCTTCTACTTCGGAATTCACCACTCAAACATCCACGAAGAGTTCCACATCAGAATCGACCCCTAAAACATCTACGGAGGCTTCCACTTCAGACTCGACCACTAAAACATCCACGGAGCCTTCCACTTCAGAAACGACAACTCATAGATCCACGGAGCTGTCAACTTTGGAACCAACGCCTCAAACATCCACGGAGACTTCCACTTCAGAATCGACAATACAAACATCCACCGACACTACCACTTCAGAGTCAACCACACAAACACCCACGGAGTCGTCAACATCAGAAACAGCCACTCAAAAATCCACAGAAGCTTCAACTTCGGAACCAACAACTAAAACACCCACGAAGGCTTCCACATCTGAATCAACCACTCAAATATCAACAGAGGCTTCTACTCCAGAATCGACCATTCAAACATCGACTGAGGCCTCCACATCGTCATCGACAACTCAACCATCAACGGAGGCCTCCACTTCGGAATCAACCACTCAAACATTAACAGAGCCGTCAACTTCGGAATCGACGACGCAAACATCGACGGAGGCCTCCACTTTGGAATCGATCACCCAAACACCCACGGAAGCTTCCACTTCTGAATCGACTACACCGACACACATGGGATCCTTTGAACCAGAATCAGTTGCCATTCAAGCTGCGCGAGTATCTCGTATGCTAAATTTGCTGCGTAAGCTAGCAGAGTCCGACGAATGTCCGACACCACACCAGGTGGATCAGACGCTGAACGAAGCCAGCCGAGCCCTAGAAAAGGTGGCCAATGAAGAGTTTACACAAGAAACGCTGGACGAGCTCGTTAATAGCACCAGTAATGTCAACACCACAGTCAACTGTGTTCAAAGCAGTCAGACTGTGCTAACGGGGGACCAGAAGAATTCGGTACAGGTGTCCATCAAGAACGCTGAAAAGTCCGCCGACAAGGCCGACGACATTATCGACAACATCGTCCAACCCGACGCCGACGCCGCTGCCCTCGCTGGCTCTCAGCTCTCCGTTTGTGATCGCTCTCATCGCCCTCAGCTGTTTGCTGGCCGTGGGCACAGTGGTGGGCGTAGCACTGACGGTGCACCGTTCCGTGCGCACCCCGCCGCGCCGCCGGCGACCCCGGCCGACCGTCACGGGCCGGGTCAACGCCGGCCACCGGCCAACCAGCATGCACACCACCGAGCTGGACGATGGTTCGGCCGGCCGGTGGCGCGCGCCCGTCCCCGAGCCTGACAACTTTGACTTACTTTACCACGGAGCCATTCCACGGGCGCACTTGGTCGATCGGCCAGGCATCGAGCCGTAGCAGACATCGCGACGAGAGTTCTACATATAGCGCCTGTATAACATGTAAATGCATAACGTCTACCGCGCAGCCCGCTGACTGAGGGGCGACGAGTGGGTCAGCAGGTCCTGGAAGTCACTCGGTGATGTCTTGTAGAATGAAGTGATCGAGCAGTGACCCAGTGACAGTAGCCGTCCAGTGACTGAGAACTGACTCAGTGATAGCTGAAAGGTCGGATAGCAGTGACTATGCGCTGATTAGAAGTAACGGAGCCATTACAGCACGGTGATTGTAGTGACCGATCGGTGAATGGAAAATGGCATCCACGGCAAAGAATGAAGCCAACCGCGGTATAGGCTCACCGACGCATGTGAGCCCTGCTTTATTGCCGACGCATGTGAACCTCGCTGTATTGTACTATATTGAACATATATATAATAATCGTATGAATTCGTACCAGTGCTGTTATGGCAATAAATGAGATACCCAACAAGCAATGCAGTAGCTACAATTGCTATATCGAGGCGTGAATGATTGGAGTAAAGAAATGGGGTAGGAGGGAGGCAAAATCCGTAACACGAAACGTTACGACACGCATGCCAAGGTTACCCAATATGGTTGAAGCCAACTGCCAAGGTTACCCAATATGGCAAGAAGTATAATCAAGCATGGACATAAAAACCTCACAGACCGTTCTAGCTCATTGTCGCAAATTGACGTCGTTGAATTACTGAAAAGTTCAAACAATACATACTGATTATTTGCCGTATCGTTCAAACACTATTTGTCAGAGCAAATACAAAAACTTATAGGCAAGACACTGCAAGCCAATCATTTGCAGCGCACCATTACCAGCCCCAAACTGCCACTCATCCGGTCAGTTCGGGGTCGGCGTTACCGGGGAGCTCAGCCTCTGGTCCTGTCGCCCCGCCCTGACACGGTACCACCTCAGCGACCTGACGCGCGGCACACTATCAGCGTGTATCTTATCGAGCGGCCGCCGAGCCAGTTTACAACCCCTATCATATCCTGGTCGAGGCCGAGCTCTCATCATGGCATGCGTAGAAGCTGGGCCCGCTGAGCCACCCGCGGACTCGCGCACCCAGAATGGACACTACGACAGCATCAAAAGGCGGAACTATCGATGATAAGCTACACTTACTTGTCTTCATAGAAAATGATTGCTTGCACGCAGAAACTCATAATGTGTATGACAGGCTTCGGATGAATGGCGTAATGACTTATTTCATTCAATTGATTTCGTAAGCTGATCCTACTTATAGGCAATCCAGCCTCTAGGTCAAGGCATAGGAACCAAAATGCGCAATTGATAAGCATAGAAACCTTGCAATAAATTGGCATAAATATACCTACACCTGAATTTATCTTATTTTATATGTGCACTGCGCATTAACCTGAGATCCAATTCTCTCCCTAGTCCCTTACAAAGATTAGTTAAATATTATCCCAATAAGTACCAACCTAGGGACAAGAGCAGAGTCCTAGGCATTTTTTCTTTATAAATTTAGCTTGAATGTTTGAATGGACGGATTGACAGAGCCGGAGCCCACGCTAAGCAGAGCTTGTTGCGTAGACCCCGACCCCTACCGTCCGATCGCGCAATTCCGGGTAACGGGAGGATTTATATACCAAAATTTAACGTGCCCTTCAAAGCAGGACACGGCCTGTCCCACTCAACTGACTTCAACTGGCTGCGGCTGCTCCCACCAACCGCAGACCGTCCCCGTCAGGAGTCTCAAATATCGAGCGCCGGAGCGTCTCGAACCCGTGCTCTCACTACCGGGAGTCCAATGCTCTACCAACTGAGCTACGGGACAGGCATTACATCATTACCCTAGCCTAAGCCGTCCTCTTTCTCGTAGGGTCAGCGGGAAAAGTCTCAGGTGACAACGTATTGACCATAGGTAAGTATTTTGGTTTCTCAGCTCATACAGATACAGCAGGGTCAGTCCCTACATTGTGTGCACCAGTGCCACCTAGTGTCGATGATTGAAAATAGATGTTCCGAGCCTCTCCGCTAGGGGCAAACGGGATACAGCAGCTAAATTATTGTAAAAACCAATTACACGCAGTATTCGGAATCAAGAACATGCATGATTTTGCCCGGGCATCGTGTGTAAAACAACCACGTTACCTAAAAAAGGGGTGTGAGCTTAATGTCTGGGCAGGGCCTGACTCGGTACCCACAGGGAGTACTGGGGTCAAAACTCAAATGTCCATTCACTCGTATTTGCAGCGACTAGGGCGCTGGATATGTTCATTGTTCGCTTGTTTAGTAGTTGACCCATACATCTTTGCTTTCCTCAGGACAAACCCATCCACACGCACCCCATGCCTTTATTTATGGGCTGGCGATCACTCCCACCATCCAATCTGGGGTGAGGGCAATTCTTCGATAAACGGTCACCCTCTCCGGGTCAACCGTTTGAGCGGCAGTGCGGGCTGTCCCATCCGGACATTTCCGTCCCACCGGGACAGTCTCTGCCGCTGCGGCGCGCCGTCGGTAGTTCGGACAGTCTGATGTCTACAGTCTACACCCTATCCTATATCATCCCATAGCTCCGCAGTGACCATTTCAGGCCAAAAGAATCCGCACCCCACAAAAACAAACAAACAAGCAGTTGGCCTAAGCATAACGAATTATTCGCTGGCCGCTTAATTATGCTCAATTACGAAGCGAACCCATTACGTTAGTCGCCATGCAAAAATAGTATGCGCCTAAGCGTAAGATAAGTACAGAAAGAAATATTTAAGAATGTTCGCTTGGATGTGCTATCAAGCAAATGCGAATAGTTTGGGGTGAGTTTATGTGACAAGTGCTCATTCCGTCACACCCAGCCAGTAGCGACCCCTACATCGGTCGGCACCAGCCACCTACAGGTCTGACCAAGCGACAAAATAATCGAGATAACGATTCCCAGCACATTTCCTGAACATTGGCTTCATAAATACACACAAACAATAAACAAATATTTCAATTTTACTGTGGGGTCAATCACTTGGTAGAGCGTTGGACTCCTGGACTCCTGGTAGTGAAAGCCCGGGTTCGAGTTGCTCCGGCACTCGGTATTTTGAGACTTCTGACGGGGATGGTCCGCGGTTGGTGGGAGTGGCATTGGCCGCAGTCAGTTGAAGTCAGTGAGTGGGGCAGACCGTGTCCGGCTTTGCTAGCACGCTAGCTTTAGAATTTACATTCTCCTGCGACCCGGTATTGTACGCTCGGCAGGTAGGGGTCGGAGTCTGCACAACAAGGTCTGCTCAGGTAAAGGGATCATTAACATCGAGCCTAGCTTTTGTTAGATCCAGTAGAGCGATGAAGAATAAAGCACCAAATAACTCCGAATGGGGGACAAATTTCCATCCGGACACCGCTGCCATCAGGTGACAAGGTTTAAATTTCCACGCTAAATCATGCAACCTTATCAGGTCAAAGTCAAAATGAATAGCAAATACAATTTGAGTTGAAATTATGCATTAGTAATAGCGTCACTCGGGCATTTATGCAAAATGTGCATTCCTGACAAGTTTACTCATTGTAGTCTGATCCATCCTGACAAGCAATGCTGCTGGCCACCGCACTTAATTCCAGGACGTGAAGGGGTTTCAGTCCCAATTCTCCCGCCCCCATATCGGCTCACCGATATCGCTATTTGTCTCTACCCAGGAGGACTTCAGCGAGTCTGAGTCAGCACCCCTGTCACGGGCGCGGGCGCCTATAAACCAATCGCGTTCACACCTATCTTATCAAGATATTCGGAAACATTCACAGAGATAGGAGCGTGCTGCCTTGCGTCGAGTCAGACGTCATACTATCCTAAATCGCGGTGTCGATATAGGAGGCTGTCGCCGACGGTCCGGCCACAGTGTCGATCTGGCCGGTGACCCGTGGAGACCAGCAGACCAGGTGAGAGAGAGAGAGAGAGAGAGAGAGAGAGAGAGAGAGAGAGAGAGAGAGAGAGAGAGAGAGAGAGAGAGAGAGAGCCAGCTCAGCCACCCGGCCGAGTTGGGGCAGGTTTCCACACCTGACACATATACCAGCTGAGGGCTGACGTAGCTATTCTTCAAATAGCATTGGACAATACCTTCGATCCACTGCAATGTGCGTCATTTTTCTTTTTAGCTTAAACTTCAAAATACATACAATTAAATTAAATCGTACATATTTCACATGTTACATATGTAATCCACATATTTATTACAATTAAATTACAACTGTTTGCTTTTCCAATAATCTATCAGCTTCAACCCACTAGTGTGTGACCTATGCAGCTGCCTCCCCATGTTGAGCTACATGGGCTGAAGCACCATTTCCCCGTTCGCAGGAACCGTGCGAACTCTCGCTGCCAGCGCCATGGGTTCACCAGGATGTAGCCGGCAGTGCTCGGCCCTGCTCTCCCTCCTCCTGCTCTCCCACACCGGTGAGTGTACGCAAAGTAACCAATAGAAACACTGGTAGATGGTGTAAACGCGTGTGTATCCGTGCGTTTCCCTGGAATGACTGCTACAGTCTGTCACAAGTAGTTAGCTGTCTATCCGAGCTGCGTCCGACACCCTTCTGTTTCTTTGGCAGCCTCAGCGGCGCGACTGTCGGCAGAGGCCACAGTGAAGCTGTCGGAAGACTTCAATGTCCTGGCTGCCATCGAGACCGAGGTGAACGCCATGAACACGAACCTGCAGGAACTCTCGAAGGCCATCGACAGCGTGCCCTCGCCGACGGACGAGCCGTCGCCGACCAGCGAGCCGCCGACGGACGAGCCCTCGCCGACGGGCGACTCATCCGACACGGTCGAGGAGGGCCTGCCGCGGCTCGTCTTCGCCCGCCGCTTCCTCACGCTGGAGCTGGAGACCAAGACTGCCGACAACTGCAACCAGTATGCTGACATCGAAGCCACCGTCGACGAGGCGCAGGACGCTCTGAAACTGGTGTCCACTCAGCAGTTCTCTAACACGACCCTGACAAGCCTGAAGGCGAGCAACCTGAAGCTGACCGCTACCACCCAGTGCGTTAGCGACAACAAAATCACACTGGACAGCGCAATGAAGGAGCAGGTGAAGGCCTCCATCACGGAAGCCGAGACGGAAGGCGAGAAGGCGTCCGACACCGTCGACCAGTACGTCAACCCGCCGACGCCGGCTCCCGCGGACGACTCCGGGTTCCGTTCGGCCACCATCGCGCTCGGCGTGCTCTTCTCTCTGGCGGTGGTGGCCATCGCCGGGCTGGCCATCTATGCACAGCGCCAGAAGTCGGGCGGACACATGAGCTAGGCGGCCTAACCCTCACCCATCATCAGATCGACATCAGGGGGCGACGAGGGCCGCCACATCGCTGATCCCGCCGCGGAACTGGTCATCAGGCGTACAGAGTTTGGTGACTCGGACTGACAGGGTCGAACCCAGGGTGCACATGTCGCCAATGAGTGCAGTACGTCGGGAC